GAGCTAACATCGTCATCGTCATTGTTCCGAAGTTTTGTAAGCCTAAAATGGCAATGAGAGTTAAGGGAATAATGCCCTTTACATTCATCGTTTTAGCGGAATTGTATGTGGTTGTTCGAGCTTTTATTTACTGCCTATTATTTTTCTTATGGCAGGGCAAGATGTGAAATGCAACCAAAAGGATGCTGCGATATGAGCAAAACTCGGAACCTCAATAGGGCTTCGAACCTGCGATTAGTTTTAATAAGGACTCACGTGCTATCTCCTACATAATCCGCACTCCTTGCTCTGCACTTCTCTCTGACAGTTCCCCACTCTATCCTTATGGTTGTACTTCACATCGTTCTATGCCATGAAAAAAGAATGGGTGGTAAATAAAAATTAAGACATTATGATTTCGATTTCAGCTTCAGCTTAACTGGTCCAGTGCCCATTTGTGCTCCCTAGATCCCTCTCGCTAAAGAACATCAAACAGATCACATTAGGATAGGTAATGTGCAAGAAAATTCAAGGCTAACCGTGTTAGGAGGCATAACTCTCCCTGACGGTGCGCGCTCGTTATTAGAATTGGGGCCGAGTTTCTCACCATCTGAACCCATTTCTAAGATAACCTTGCGTAGGGTCGCATGTGGTTTACATGAACTTCAAGATAGACTCCGCAAAAAAGCTAGAGATGAAGCGCTAAATAGGTGCGAACAACATCAAGTGGGGGCCCTACCAATAGCACCATTTCCCCCGACGTTCTTCAGACAACAAGAGCCCAAAAATGAAGTTGATGTTAATTTTCGGATGTTTGCAAATGAAACTCTCAAAGTCCTTAATCACTATCGCGCGAAAAGATACAGCTCAAACCTCACTCCAGTGCAAAAACGTGGTATGCGAGAGGTACGAGAGCTGATAAGGTCGAAAACCATAAGACTTTCCGTTAGTGATAAGGGTGGAGAGTTTGTCGTAATTCCTCATCAGTTAGATGTGGAGATAACGAAAAAGCATCTTGAAGATGCTTCACTTTATCGCCCATCATCTGAGGAGGAATTGAAAAGTGAATACCGAAAACTAAACCACGAATAGGCCAAAATGGCAAGGGCTGCTGGTTTGAAACCATCAGTTATCTCTCAACTTAAAGTTGCCTTACCAACATGCCCGTCTTGTACTTACTTATAAAAACTCATAAGTTAGTATCCAGAGATGATCTCGCGTCTAACGATCCATCACTATTTAAGGCTAGACCTATCATTAGCTGCGTAGACGGGCCAACGGACAGGATAACATGGTTTTTAACCCTAATATTTAACCAGTTGTTGAAACACATTCCAGCCCATTTTACGAATACCCAGATGTTTCTGGATCGTCTACGTACTGCGCAGCCCAACAGCGCGTGCGTGATGGAGTCCTTCGACGTTACCGCCCTTTGTACAAACGTGTCGAATGACTCCGCAATGCAAGCCATATTCGAACTCCTTACACAACACGAAGGAGAAATAAACATGTATGGCTTCAGGATAGAGCACCTGATGGCACTCTTAAAAGAATGCTTGAGCTGCTCAANTACCGAAAACTAAACCACGAATAGGCCAAAATGGCAAGGGCTGCTGGTTTGAAACCATCAGTTATCTCTCAACTTAAAGTTGCCTTACCAACATGCCCGTCTTGTACTTACTTATAAAAACTCATAAGTTAGTATCCAGAGATGATCTCGCGTCTAACGATCCATCACTATTTAAGGCTAGACCTATCATTAGCTGCGTAGACGGGCCAACGGACAGGATAACATGGTTTTTAACCCTAATATTTAACCAGTTGTTGAAACACATTCCAGCCCATTTTACGAATACCCAGATGTTTCTGGATCGTCTACGTACTGCGCAGCCCAACAGCGCGTGCGTGATGGAGTCCTTCGACGTTACCGCCCTTTGTACAAACGTGTCGAATGACTCCGCAATGCAAGCCATATTCGAACTCCTTACACAACACGAAGGAGAAATAAACATGTATGGCTTCAGGATAGAGCACCTGATGGCACTCTTAAAAGAATGCTTGAGCTGCTCAATCTTCAGATGGTCTGGAACGTACTACGCTCAAATAAGAGGGTTGGCAACGGGACAACGACTGGCTCCAAGCCTTGCCATTGCATTTATGTCTAAGGTGGAAGCACCGGTGACTGATCTCGGGCCGCTACTCTACTGTAGGTATGTAGACGACTGCTTTGTCCTTTGCTCAACACAAGAGGAAATGGACAAATGTTTCGAATTGTTAAACGCACAGTCAGAGTATATCAAGTTCACCCGAGAGAAGCCGAAAGAAAAATGGCTTCCATTTTTGAACGTACAAATTGACCTGTCAGAAAATGGCTACATTACAAAGTGGTACCGAAAGCCAAGTAGTTAAAACATCTTGGTTCATTACCTCTCCTCTCACCCCTCTCACACGAAAAGGGCGCTTATAAGAAACATGTTTCGAACAGCAACCAACGTGTGCACGGGAAGAGAGCGGAGAGAGAAGTCCCGGAACTTGGCACGGCAAATAGCCGTTTCTAATGGCTACGAAACTGTAGCTCGGAATAGGTGTAGGAGAAATCCTAGGCCTCCAAACGACAACTCTAGCGATAGAAGGGTCCCGTTTATCCTACCCTTCATCTCAAGTGATATAAGTACAGCTATAAAACGCTGCTTAAGAAAGGCGGGCTTAGAGAATTGGGTGAGCGTAGTTGAAATACCACCGAGTAATCTTAAGCGCCAGCTAGTTCGTAACCGCCTATATGACCGCCTATGTGCAACTCAAAATTGCATAATTTGCCCCAGTGGTAGAGACGGTGATTGCATGAGCTCGGGTATAGTTTATCTGATCTCCTGTAAGACGTGTGGTGACGAATACATTGGCGAAACGGGTAGACCCCTCTGTGTCCGCATGAAAGAACACCTAGCCGGCAAAAATAGACCAAATACCCCGCTAGGCACGCATAGGACCCAGAGACATAACGGAGACGACTTCGAAGTATGTGTCACGATCCTCGCACGCGAATCAAGAACACAGGCGCGAAAAACTTTCGAGGCATTCTGGATTAGTTCCAGAAATCCGAAAATGAACCGCAGGGAAGAATGCCTCATTAGCACGCGTGATATAGGGCAGTATGTAAGACTGCTATTCTGATGGGAGGGGCACATTATACTTCCATGTGATTTCTGTGCGGTTGGTCTCTACGTGACATACTTAGTGGAAACCTCATAGAAAGCGGTGAGTGTGCAAAGCTGTGTTCAAAGTGATTGAAATCTTGGTGTGGAGTTTCTTTGTTTGGTTATGGAGGCGTCTGGCCGAGTGGATTGCTATCAACTTGACCTTTCCAGGCTCTGAAAAAGACGAAATCCGCCGAAACGTCAGCTTAATCGTGAACAAAGAATAGTAACACCTCGCGTTTGCTCAACAAAAATGCGAAGAAAAGCTCCCTAGATCATTTTCGTTGACGCGTCGTCATTGATAGCACCAATAGAGTGAAAATGTGCCTAAGATAAAATCAATGTAACGACCTCGGATGGTGTGGAAAATAGTGCGCGAGTCTCCATTAAGGGTAATTGAGAGTTCGAAACCCAGTTGAGGTACCGAGTTTTGCCATTATAGCATCCTTGTGGTTGTATAAAGTTGATTTCAATCATTCGCCGAATCAATGTAAAAAATGCAAAATGCATTCATATAACCACACCGACACACACATTCATGACTGTCTGCGCGTGTACAGAATGAGGATTCCAAGTGTCGCGATGATTTTCTCAGTCGACTGTCGCCGTGGATCATCTGTTCGTAAGATATGATGGATCTAGTTTGTCGGCCGTTCATTGGAACTTAATTTTTTTTTCCCGCTGTGTCCGGCTTCTTTACACTTTAGCTATAGAATTTTTTAAGAATATTCTTAAATCCAGCATATTTCAACATAGCACAGTTCTTCACGAATGTGGAGAAAAAATTTGAGTAATGGCTTACGTTGCACCCTAACACTTTGCCAACAAATTAAAATGTCCAGACACGTGAACTACTTTGCTACTTTCTTGATAGCACAAGATAGGTTGTTGTGATACATTAATTATTCACAAGAGTTGATATTTCGGCAGAATTCGCCTTCGCTACAGTAGCCGATTTGATCTTTCCAGGCTCTGAGGAAGATGGAAACCGTTGAAATTTCAGCTGCTGTAAATAAATAATACAAAATGACACGCTCATGTGTTATAACCAAGAAAATAGCAAATTATTTATCAATACTGTGGTTAATAAAAATTGGTCTCAGGAATCACTTCAAGTACTGTCTCTAGGAGCATCTGCTGTTGAATGGACATGTACGGACTGGTCTTCAAGAAAAGGCCAGAGAAGTAGCCGTTTCTCTGCTCAGCCTCATCCCACGAGCTTCCTACACGAACACCCCTTATCAGCTGAATATTCCGCCACCACCGCCTTCGCAGGTATAGTCGATATACGGTTACGGAATCAACATTGTGAGCGAATTTCGCTATTTCCCACTCACCAGTCAGAAAACATGCATCATATTTAACAGAACTAGCTAAACAAAAAATAATTCCCCATAAAGGGACTGCTTTGGAAACAATGACCTACAAAAACACGCCTTTTCATGTTCTTCCAAATAAAACCTTTTTCTGAGCCTAAACGTCAACGCGTTCCCGCAACAGTGAAAGAAACCAAAGGCATAAAATGACTAGAAAGCTATTTTCGACACGAAAGGGAAGATTTTCTTTCATAGGAATGATTTCTCAATAAGTAGTTTTCGAATAGTGGCTATAGATTGAACCACTATCTCTCCTCGACGGCACAATGAATAGTTCACTTGAAAAGTATTTTCGCCTAGGAATCTACACCACCACGGCTAAATCTTCGTAGACGATTAAGTCTTACACAGTACGACAACATGGTGCTATATCAGTACTTTGAACAAGTGCTCGAAGATATCATCACCTGTGCAGTACGAATAGAAAAGGCTGTCTGTGGAATAAGGTATTATGGTATTGGAATATAGGAAGAATCTAAATCTTGATAACAGATGGTATTTCAGGCAAGATGTCATCTCACTAAAACCGTATGACGACTTAAACAGCAAGTGGCAGACAGTGATTAGAAGACTTGAGATCATTTCGCTCGTGTTTTACGTTTCTGTTCTGTTCATTACTATGTATCTGTTCTTCTATCATGAGTGGTAAGCCTTTTGTCTGCCTAAACATTCGGTACTAATGAAATACAATGTCCTACCGTAAACGAGTACATATAGGCTATTCAGTTTGACTAGGTCAGAAATGATTGGCAAATGTCTGCCTCGTCAACTGTACGAGAGCAAGGAGTTCGTCTTCTTGATCCTACTTTTTTCTTGGGCAGCAAGAGTTGTCTGGCTGTTGGCGCGAGCCAAATCTGCATATGTTCATGATGCATTTCTGTGGTCTGTGTTGAATCATGTACTCAAACTTCTTCAATCGTGGCGAAACCATTGCAGCAGACCAGTGTTCTCAGGAATTCTACAGAATGCACAAAGAACTACAACTCTTGGGATCAGCATTGATTAATGTGGAACAGACGATTCAACTGGACCACAACGTTTGTTCTCATACAACTCTTCAGGAACTGGATCACTGTTTGCAGCACGACGTTATTCCTTATCGGCTCTACTTACCAAGCCTTTCATTAACGGACTATCGCTTATTTAAAGATTTGGACAGACTGCTTTGTGAGGAAATATTTCGCATTCTGAAGGTGGCCTGAAAGACCTTCTATTATTATGCAAACGACATGTTAAAGTTGACAGAAATGCCTTGACAAGCGAACTGTTTGGATGGTAAAGCCGAGGTTTTTTAAAACCCATTTCATTTTGAACTAAAGGTGTTATCACTGATGAACACGTGGTGGTAACAAGAATACCGACGCTTCATAAACGCAATCTCTTGCAATATAAATAGGTGCAGAACCAAATCCGGAATCAGCCTTACTGGAGAAACCTGCTCAGAAATGATTATTGGTTTTCAGGTATTGTGCGGTTGGTCATAACCCATGCGGACAGATGAACCTGAAGTGTCCCTGGATGGCCGTCACACCAGACGATCCACAATGCGATGTTAACCCATACAACTAGACTCAGTCTATGTAGTTGAAATCGTTGCCAATTATTTACGGGTTGTAATCTCTGAGACTTCTCTCTAGAACCCTATCATTTCAGTTTGCTCACTAGAAGTTGGTGAAAAATCAATCTCTGAAGATTAACTCGTTATGTTAGTATTGTGATGCAAATGTCCTTGAACACAATGAAGATGAACTGATTGATTTTTGCAACACAGTGAATATCTATTGTTGGGCTAAATTTTAGTTAAATGCGTAAGACAAAAGAAGAAGGACCACTGTTTTGAATGGATAATAAAAGAGACTTAAATCTGTCCTTTGGTCTTCGTTACTATCCTCTCGTATTGCTGAGATTAGCGACCCATTCATAATTACTGTCTTCATATCTACCTTTTTCATGAATCAAATTTTTAGTGACTAACTAGTAGCTTTAAGTTTCTCCCTACTTCGTTAAATTCTTCAAGCACCATATATTCACATTTGATTTACAATACTCTTTCAAGAAAACGAACAGGTGAGGGAATTTTTAAAACTCACAAAGTTGCATAGTTTGTGTTTTTATTTACTTTAGAAGACCACAAATACTAATTGTGAAACGTTAGTGGAAAACTGTAGAAATGTGATTCAGAAGGTACAAAAACCAGATTCTCCTTTGTTGGTGTAGATCGCGAACTCTTTACTCAAGTAAATGGATATGGGTAGCATTCGTTTGTACACTGTCAAACAGTTCTTCATATTTCATCAAGGTTACGATGAGAAACGTGTGGCGCAGGGGTCGGAGGCTCCCTGCAACACACACGTGGAATCGGTTCCTGCAGCCATGGGCCATCGAGCCATCCGCAAATTGGTACTAGACTTGTCTGGGAGCATAGCAGCACTGGTTCATCACACATCAGTAGGCAACCGCGAGTCATCGTAAAGACCAAATATGCATTTAATCACTGTCAGACGTTCCGCGCGATTCCATAATGCACAAGACTGAAGGAACTGTCGTAACTACTGCCCAATATTCGTGTTAAATGTTTACAAGCAGTTTAAGAAACTTTACTGCACAGAAGGGAACCATTTCATGACTATGAATGGCCCTCGCGAATGCCACCATTTTCGAAGCACACCAGAGAGAGAGAGGGAGAGAGACACACAGATGGAAATTGCATTGATTTCCGAAATACCAGTGTAAATAGGCCATTCAAGTACCCCATTAAGTTTTATTTCGCATATCATGCAGTTGGAATGAAGCGAAACAAGTTAAGCGAGCAGCATTCTGACAGGGATTTTGCTACATGGACCAGGTCGAAACCTTACCCCAGGTTACAGAACTTTGTTGGTAGCTCTATCTTCCTCTTGTTTCAACCTTTGTCGACTATGAAAAAGCGTTTGGCTGTACCGTAACGAGTACGTAACATGTCATGGAGTTGGAATGAAGCGAAACACGAATAAGCATAAGATCGATCGATACGATCGTATCACCGTCCATCGACTAAGGGGTGGATTCGTCCTATATACGAACACTAACTGACTGCTATCGAAACAGTAGCACGAATCTAAAGCCTTTTCATCGACCTATCACCATACCCATAGGAAAGGTTGTTCAAGAAGGCGACACTATCTCGCCAAAGCTGTTTACAGCGTCACAACAGTGGATAATGAACTCGCTCAACTAAAGCTAGAAGGGTATATGCACTGATGGAACTCCTCTCAGAGTCTCGTTTTGTTGACGCCATCGTCACCTTTTGAGAGGTGTCAGTGAAGCGAAGAAGATGCTCAGATTGAGACTGATTGAGCTCAGCGAAGCAGCAAAAATGATTCGCCGCATGAATGAGAAGAAAACACAGGTCATTAAAAACGAATGATTCCAAGGTAAGCATATCGAACTGGATGGTTGTCTGGTTACAGAGGCCACCTGGTACTTGTACGTTGGGCGATAAAAACAAGAAGAACATAAAGACGAATTTAAACAGAAGAAGGAGAACACCATAGGTCATATCCTAACATCTCAGAGAAGCAATCGAGCAACTACAAACACTAAATTTTGCGCTTATCTTTTCAGCCCAACTGCCCTTCTAACTCGGTTATGTAGCAGTGACGCGTGTTTAACCACGATAGAAATCCTGCACACCGTTCACATATAACTTGAACGATCCCTTCTCGTAACTAATATAGACAACTTTCTAATGTACTCCACAGTCCAAATCTTCGGAATTTACCACATCTGCAAAATCCAAGAGAGTGCACACCAGTAGCGAAACACTGATAGAGCAACCATATAGTGGGAAAGGAAGAGAGACCGAGGAAAAAACTGTACGTCATGGACGGACGCCTTGGTAGCCTAAACCGAATAGCTGTACTGGCAGCTGATAACGCTTTATAAATCACGTTATTACTCTCTAGCACGTTACCATACACGAAGCAAGCCGCCACTATGCACTATAGTGCGAGGATAAGAAACGAAAGGAAAATCTGCTGAGCATCATATTACAGCTGCTGACATCACACAGTGTAGAACTAATGTAAACCACAATTTCGCCTATACAGACCTTTTGAACTGTTTACCACTCCACTGCGTCGGAGTTTTTTCCGATGTCTACAGTCTCTGTGCTACTCTTTGCCTGAAATGTTGAAGCACTGATTTGGATCCGTGCTTTCCAAAAGCTTAGAAAGTTTAATGTGTCGTTGTGTTCGGGCATTCACTTTAGTGATTAAAGTCCGAATATAACGTATGATTATTGCCATCTCAATCAGTACCTCATTATGAGATTTAACAAGAACAACGAAAACGCCTCACAATACGACTTCAACGTCATGATTACGTGATATCTTCCACTGGTACTTTGGATGAAACTGCCATTGACAAAAGCGAAACAGCTTTTCTCACTTGTAATCATTACTACTAAATATCTAAAAATGCATACTCCTTCAGCTTTTGGAACTAAAACAAAGTAGAGATGCCACTTTGAGCACTCAACCACCTAAAACATCAGTAGTGTACACGAACCCAGAACTTTCCACACGCCTAATACCGGATTCTATTGCAGTACGTTGACGATGCAAATGAAATTCATGCTAACACTTTTCAAGGTGTGATAAGACAACGTCCCCATATTTATCTTGAACTATCTTTAATCATTAAGGACAAGCTGAAATACCAATGCTGTTTAGTAAACCAGCGAACCGGTGATGATTGCATAAGAGCAAGAACTCTTCAAGACGATAAAGAATCAAGCCATCTATCTACTTCTGTAAAATAAATCGGCGTTAGTGCCACAATATGCATCACTGTAGAACGGTGTACCCTCCTCGCACGGCCATGACCACCGCAGCTTTTTGGAATTCACTGTAAAACAGGTCTTTCTTTTCCAAACAATAAACCAATAATCCGCAAATGATGTACATGTGACATAAAAAAGTGCTAATAATAGGAATCATTGTTTATATCTTGCAGAACAACAAAACAACAACACAGATCATGATCTATTTCAAATCGATAACTTGGATACCAGGAGGCAAGGACTGTTTGAGTTTCTCGGCCTTATCCTTATCCTAAAACATAGGGTAATCAGAATTGACAATAAAACATCAGAAACCACTGTCAACAATTGGAATAAAAAGATCTCAGGCGCCTAAAAACAAATTTGGTCAAATAAGTTAGGCCAAAGAGAAAGACTCGGCTGTAATCTACACTCAGCAGTAATTTTGTTAAAAATTCGAAATGATATGCATGTTTCCTATAGCCGGTTCACCAGACAAGCAACAAAGCTCGAATCTTGTAACAACTGCACACTTTGATGGCACGGTTATAAAAAGAATTAATGCAGATATAATTTAATACCTTATAAAGGCTAGAAAAGGATAAAGTTCTCGGCGTTGATCAATCGCTGAGGGATCTGCCATGCACTCGACCTCAATAAGCATCGTTGGAGGTAATTTAATGCATATTTGACATTTACAATGACTCGCAGTGGTCTATGAATGGATTAACCAAGTGCTGCTATTCTCCCAAACGAGTCTGGTACCAATTTGCTAGCAGCTGAGAGATGGAGGGCTTGGTGGGCCACGGGAGCGTGGATCGATCCCATGTGTATCGCAGGGCAGCTACGATTACGGCGCCACAAGCGTCGGCAAGGTTATAAAAACAATGCAGATATAAATGAAGACCTTATACTAACAAGAATTACCGTCATTAATCACATGACATCCTTAAGTACGTTGAGCAAATTTCATTAACAGAATGAACATCCCAACACTGAATCGTAAGTGAAAAAGGGGAGTAAAATCATGATAGCACTATTAGTGTAAAACCCCAGCTTCGAAAAACACAAGAACTAAACAATAGTAGCAATAGTAGCACTTTCACTGTGAACCTGGAACCTCACATTTGATGATGTACATAGAATACATAGAATAATAAATGACATGACCGGCACTATTATGACTGAATCTTAGTTTTGAAAAACTGATGTGAACAAATCACCCAAATGAAAAGTTTTGTAGATGGCTGCATCCCTCATCTGTGACTACGCTGTGACATACTCACACCGAGTCCGCAGAACGAGGTTAAGTTTATTTGAGATGTGGCTTACAAGAATTCCAATGCTACTAAAGTTTAAGTTATAAAAGCAAAATGAACTAGATGGTAACCCGTTTTGACAGTAATATACAAATAAAGGCTAACTTAGAGCGAAAGAGACTAAAAGTCCTATGCAATCCTAATATTTTGGTCCTGTTTTCTACAACGAGTTACATTCGAAAAATCTAACCACGATTTACAAATTAATGCCTAAATTTTTCAAAACGTTTAGTGAAACCATTCTAAAAAGTGTACAAATTGTTTCAAATCTATGGACTTCAAGAACCCTGCTACTCAAACCGAAGAACTCTTAGAAGTAAAGCTGAAACTACTGCTTATGCCGTTGAGGTGATTTGCATCCTTCCATTCTTCCCCTATTTTACCAAGTTTGGTAGATGTTTGATCACAGGACAGGCACATATTATATAAACTGTGGGTGATTATTAAAGTTATCAGCCGGATGCAATGATGCATTTGGTGACACTAAAGCGCACTGGACGGAATTCCATATTCTCAAAGACCTCGGCGTACAAGATAAAGCTCCGAAAAAAGAACAAAGCTGTGTCTGGATTCCAAGTCCAAAAATAGGCAAAAATTCCACCTCGCTTCGGAAATACATAATGGAGTTAAGCATGATTAAAAAGACTCTCGGAATTAAACATGACTTACTCCTTCGGTTAACGAAGGTCAAGACACAGTCTCACGTGCAACCAACAACAACGTCCTCGTTCGCTACCTTAGATTTATTTTTATATAGTGATGCAGTGGTCGGAGGCGCTCTGCAACACACACATTGGATCGATTCCCGCGCCCGTGGTTCAGCAATCCTTCTATCCGCCCCGGGTCAGCAAACTGATGCTAGATTTGTCTGGGAGGATAGCAGCACTGGCTCGATACATCGGTAAGCCACCGCGAGTCATTGTAAAGTCCAGATATGCATTCAATCACCTCCTAACGATGCTTAATGAAGTTGAATGCAAGGCGAACCTCTCAGAGATTGATCAACGCCGAGAAATTTTTTTACGGGGATTCTACAGATCACTCACGGATTGTAATCGAATGACAACGGCGAGATCACAGCGATAGTATACGCACCGAAGAGAATGAGTAAAAGCCGAAGAAGCACAGAATACATTAAGAACAAAAAGAAGAGAGGTCACTTACATTAACCACAAGAGTGTATAAGTATCTGCTGCAGCGAACTTTAAATTTCACGTTCAGGCTATTCTTCTTAATCTTGACTATTTTTGCATCCTTCCGGCGTGCCAGTACGAGGAAGTCTTTGATCTCAGTGATTTGCTTTGGCATGGCGATAAATCACCTAAACGAAAAGTAGACAATTCACTAGCTTGGAAGTAACAGATTACACGTGGTCAACAACTTGGAACAGCGAAGTCTATGAAATATATCAAAACCGAGCAAGCACAAAACTAACATCGAAAGAAAAATGAATCTGGAGCACTTGAAAAGCAATGAGAAGAGACGCAGACACTGGTTTCTTTCTTCTGTTTTTTCCTTTTTTCGCTCTCTAAAGCACGTAAACAAGAGCTCATATTGGAAAACTATGTACCACCGCAAAAGAATTTCCACAAAAGAAAAGTAGATGAACCCATTAGTCCATGAAGACGGAAGCAAGCGTAACCGCGCCCGATCATGGGCCACGAAAAAGAAATGCGTTCCAACGGAAACTGTTACGGTATTATCCGTACGAGACCCCGTTGCCGATGCGTCCTTCAACTTGTTCACGCAGCGCGTTTTTTGTCGGGATAACAACGCGCTGACAGTTAGTGGGGTTATGTAACTGTTTTCAGTCGAACAGTTGGGGTAAAATTTAGCGTCGTTTCGATACACTCGTGTGGAAACTTCTCTTAAAACTAACACTCATGTGGAAACATACCTTCGAACTGATGAGATCTTTTATATACCGGGATGACTGGAGTTGAGTTTTTTTCATTTATCAATTCCTGAACGATCAGTATTCCCACTGTCCAATCGTATATGGATTTTCCGCTTCACGGAAAGCTGATTCCACTGGTGTTGGATGAGTTCCAGATGCCAACGCACTTTGTCAAGTTTATAGGTATCCTTACACTCCTAACTGAGGATAAATGTGAATTACATACATTCTTGTTTCTGGATGGTAAACGGCAATCTCTCAGCTAGTTCTTGACGCTAACATTTACTCTTCTATGAAAGGGTGTTGTATGCGAACACATAGGCCCCACAGAAAGGGGTAATGGCGGGTTTGAAGCTCACCTGGAGTCCTGGGTTCTCCTCAAATTTGAGCACCATTGCGGCTGTATTTCACATAACACCCTGCTATGAAGAAAATAATAGGCAGCAAACAGAGGGAATCAAATAAATAGTAATCCTTGTAGAAGTAGACTTGAGAGGTTGGTATGTTCCTACTTCCTTCGTATTACCTACCAGACAACCATATTTCTGTCAGCATTTGCAAGCGTGTAGCAAAATATTCTCCATCAATCTCATTCTTTTCTCATGATCAACGTCAACTGAATAAGATTATAACAATATCGTGTTACTTTAGTAACTTAAGGAAGTATTTAGTCATCCCGAGATGTATTGAAGGGATATTGATGTTGACGGAAAGTCGGTCTTTAAAATCATGCTACAATCATAACGATGCAGAAATATGAGCAAAACTCTGAAGGGCTAAACCAGCGTTTACCCTAACCATAGGCTCATGTGCCGGCTGAGCGAAAGGCAAACAAAAGCATCGGTCGGCTTCGTAGACAGTAGGTGAGCCCTTTCAAGCGCCTCTGTTAGCGTGATGGATAGCCACTCAGCATCCCGTAAGGTAATTACGGATTCGAAGCCCTCTCAATGTTCTGAGTTTCTGCTCACATCTCAGCATTTTTGGCAGGTGTAGCGCAGTGGTTACAGGGACCACGCAATACACACGGGACCGATACCCGTGCCCATGCCCATCAAACCCCGCATACTCCCGAAGTTGATAGACCATACGTGCATTCAACCATTTCTAAACGATGCTTAATGGAGTCGAATGCATGACGGATCACTAAGGGATTGATCAACGTCCAGAGCTTTATCCTTTTTTTAACCCCCAATATCTACAACAACAGTAATTCATCACACAGCCTTTGGAATTCAGACAATAAGTGCTTAACAGTCAAAGCATGAAATGACATCTGCACAGACCCAGCTATCCGTCGAAAACAGAACCTTCGGTAACAAATCAATTTGTAACAAAAATAAGCTATTCGAAATGACATTACACTGGATGCAGCAATACACTTCATCGCCCATGCTCCGCTTATGCATAGTATACAATGCATCTCGACCGTTGCACTTCAAAAGTACGTTTCGTGCAAGAAGTGGAATTTACAAAAAGAACTATAGTTTGTAGACTAGGTATTTCTAATCATATCTGAAACATCAGCGCCAGAAGGAGGGTTAGAAACTAGCGAAGTTTCTGAAGACACAGTGTGGTGATTCAGAACGAATGCGCACTTTGTCACCACTTAGTCTTCCCACAAAGTGCGATTTTGACAACAACGAATGCAAATCTGAACAGGTCCCCTCGATGGTTTGCCATTCCATCGTAGCTGGGTTTCCCTAAATCCACGCTCATTGTCTAAATTACAGCAAAAACAGTTTAGTACATCCTTCACTCACTCTAAGCATTCTCGCAGTTCAAGAATTTTGTCCGTGACAAAATTTCTTCTAAACCGTTCAAGTCACGAAGAATAATGTATAGCTTCTCTTGAACTACGCCTAGTACAATGTGTTGGAAAAAATGTTGAATAATAAGTTATAGCAAGCTCTGAGCGTGAGAGTAGACAGCTGACAACAGGAGCCATATATGACTCATACAATGGCGGAATTTTCAAATAGTAAATACACGAATTCAAAAGAGAAATCTTTGAAATATCGTAAAAGTTCATCGGTTACTGTGGACTAGCAACACATATCAACAGCCGCAAAGAATGTCAGTAGGCGAGATCACCCGCCGGAAGAAATATTCGAGAACTATAATGAGAAACAAGAATACAAGGCAAATTTTGAGCTGGATAACCTCATAGCGCGTTAAGACATCGTATTATGCAAGAAACCGAGGCGTGTTTTACACCATAAATAAGTAGTAAATGAAAAGTAGTACATTTAACACATCCGAAAATAACAGTTCTTGAAATCTATGCAAACACCAAACTTACTACCAACATGTAGTCTAGCTACAGCTGCTTCAATCAAAACATAAAAAGTTAGGAAACTACAGCAAGGAAATTCTTCAGCTCCAAATTGATTAACTGTGTGTAGCAGAAAAGGGAGCGGAAGCTCCCAGTGATCGAAGCGCAGACCGAGCCCGGTTTGGTGACACCTCCTGCTGAGCATGTGCTCTATAAATGAAACATACAAGGGCTGGCTATATAAATATCCAAAGAAACTGACTTTTGCATATATAAAGAGCTTGCTGATGATTGGATTTCGGATGCGTCATCTGTGAAATCGGGGATTGGTGACTCATGTCCATCTAATGAGTATTGCTCAAGGTACCTGGAATGCCACATGGATATTAACAATAGCCTAACAACAAAGGAAAACTATTTACGAAACCTCACAGTACCTTTGCACAGCATCGAATGCATCTGAAAGCCTATCCAATTGTTCATTAAGCGTTTCACCTTTACGAGCTGGTTCCGCCGCTGTTGCCAGAAGGTCTTCCACGGAAACAGAGAGACACCCTTTGTTTTGAGATCTAAAATATTGGCAATTATATCCTTTATTGCAGTAATAAAAGAATAATTTGTCGCTCACCGAATCAGTTCTATGCTCTTCTTACATTTTTGTGATAACAAGTCAACAGTATGAGCCAGCCCGCTAAGTTGCTGGAAAAGCAAATTAGCCCCTTACAACGTAAATCGGGAACGGACTCTATATACCTTTCCAGTGGCTTGACTACTTTGTTGAGAGAGACGCGAAATGTCTTGAACAACACCACGTGAATATTCCGCTAAAACCCGCTGACTGGCATGTTCTGCCTCTTCAACAGCTAGCGATTCTTGCGAACGGTTTCGTGTGATCTCCATGAACCCCATTCTCTAAAATAAATTGGCTACACCTACAAATCCACTCTCAATAACAATGATTCAATCGAACACCCAAATTGCTACAGTTCTTTGCAACAAACACAACTAAATATCTTAAGAAAACGTCTCACGTTCACGTTCATAACTGTGTTACTAATTTAGATACTTGAATGGCCTATCCTCGCTGATTATGCATGCCCATTAATAATCTGCATTTCTCCGGAGTTTTGTTGGTCTAGCCATTATGGTTCCCTGCAATTCCGAGATCAGCCGAGACAAAGTCTGTCCCAGGTCGTCACCACCACAAGCAACTGTCGCCTTTGTGAATCAAAGAAAGATTTGTCACCATGCGACTAGTTTGATACCAGCACGGTGGTGGATCCTGGCATTGGTTTATTCTTAGCTATTCCTGATGGAAACACCGAACTCCTCAACTTGGGAAATCCTGCCGGGGAAACGAATCCCCCGCTGTACACCGTAGCCCGACACTCGGAAACTTCACGATGACCCGGTAAACTGTTGGGAGATGTTTTAGCAGCATAATATTGTTGTGTTCGGGATAACACTGATCAAATTAGAAATTCACAAATTTTTACAAATCTTTACCTTCCATGAAATGATAACATTATCTAGGCGCAATACGAGATGCTAGTTTAAACACTAGTAACACTGGGTCAAAAACTGATAGATGACGAACGAATAGAACCAAAATTAAAGTACCCGAACTGCCTTTGGCATAACAGGTCCGACATGGAAAGACATAGAACGATTTGATACGAATTGTTCTTCCCTATAACAGTACCTAAGATCAAAGAAATATCAAGAAATAAAGTAAGCACGAGTCAACACCAACACCACAACTAGCTTACCGTTCCGCTCCGCTGTTATTTGATATAGAAAGATTTGCCTGGCTAAATCATTAATTGTTACAATGTGATAATCAGACGCTCAGAAGTTCTGGTATTAATTAAAGAGGAACGAATAGCCGCACTACAATTTCAATCAAAAAACTGCCAGATCTTAGCCCCGAATAATCGAAAAGTGTAGATGTGTCGGCGCAGATTTATAATACCTATTATATTAGAAGGTCCATGCGAACCTTGCTTTCAATTCCTTAGCCTTTCTGGCCTCCGCGGCCGCCTTCATAGGGTTATAGTCTTTCCTGCGCAACCACGCATTCATTTCCTGCACTTTCTGTTGCGAAGAGTTAATACCCTGAAAACTTGAAAGTTGAGAGTAATAGGAAAAGAAAGAAATATATATAAACCTACTCCTACTCGTAAAGGGGCAGCGCCAGCTCTGAAAGGAGGTTTTCTAGCATAGTTTTGTGGAGCTGGTGATGTCACTCCTGGAGTATTACCCCGCATAGAGTATCGACCGCCATCGCCTCGCCTAAGATTAACAGTATTCTCGCAAAACAAAGATTAACTACGACAAAAACGAACACAATACCAAAGAAAACACGACAAATCTTCACCAAAGACCTAACACTAATAAACAAGAATAGCGCTTAACCCACAAAATTGTTCTTTCATGCCTTTCACACGAAAACATTAAGAGTCACAGTCAAGCTTGTGTCAAAGCATCGATGAAAATCCATCAAATATTGATGCAGTAGACAAAACGAGAAGAAAAACCACTACATGACATACAAAAAGTAGTTCCATTTGAGACGGCAACATGAAACGAGCAAAACACTACGGCTTCCAATTAAATCTACAGAGTTCAAAAGCAAGCTTGAATGTCATTGCCGTTTCTTATGATCAACACTTCGTGCAATGAACCGTAAAAAAACATGAACTTATCCCACGCACGTTTCGCTTTGACACCTCCATTTCCTGAGAAAACAATACGTAATGTGGTTGCCTCTATGCCCACAAATTCTTTTTCTCTAACAGAACGCATAACTGTATTCACGTGAAGACATAAGTGACATTACAAAACAAACTGCTACCTTAATTGCTGTGTATTGGTTCCAGAGCCAGCTCGTACCACAGCTCTATTTGACTGTTGAGTACCAAGTGAAGCCCTCCCAGTACTTGGACGAAGCTGCTGGGATGGCGTTGTTGCTTCGGGACGCGAACTCTCGCAAGGCCTAGATGGTCGTGCGACACTACTGGACGCTGAAAATTTGTTCAACAAATCCTTTGAAGTCCCAGCCACCAAATATATAAAACTACTCGGAGATTAACTCATAACAAATATGCACAGAATAAAATGCCTTTGGTAGGAAAACAGTGACCGTTTTCATGTTTAAACCAACATAACACAGCTCATATCGAATTTTTTCGAACGTCTACATTAGTTTTTGTTGGTTTCGGTCCACAGCAATTTCGAGAAACTAAAGCATTTCCTCCGCGAAATCAAAACTGTACATAAAGCCACATTAACGACTTTCATCAGCAACCTTTGCATTCGCGTTTTCTTCTACGTGAGTCTTCTTCACATCCACTGTGCGGATCCTACCAATACTTCCATTAAGGTCGTTTCCTTACAAGCACCATCCGCGAAAGGTGTCCTATCTGCGCCGAGATCCGTTTGCTACACGGGAATTTCTGATCTTTTCATAAACATGGTTACATGGTGATAAAGTCGATTGTTTTTCGAAACCTTCGATAGTCGTCTTAAAGCGTACCCATGTGCATTTGAGGGAGTGAGTTCAACCCAGTCAAGTCCGGTATCAATCTCCTGACTCTAGAAGGATGATAGGCTTAGTGAGTTTCGAGCGGCCTCGAACCAGCACCATGCTAGTGATGAATTCCATCACTACCACTGAGCTACCCATGCCTGCATTCGGAATAGGATTCTTTTTTAACTTATTATTTACTGCCTACTCCTTTTAACGGCAGGGTATACATTGTGAAATATAACTTCAACGATGCTGAGATATTTGCAAAACTCCGGACTGCAGGTGCACGCGGTGGGGTACGAACGCGCTAAAGAGTAGGCAGTAAATAATAAGTTAAAATTGTGATTACAACTGCAGCCTCAGCTTAACTGGGTTCGTGGCCGATTTGGGCCCCCAGATCAATCCCGCTGACGGGTGATTGCTGCTAGCAAAAGATCGATAGAACTTGCTGAGAGACAGGTGGAACGAAGGACCCGCGTTGTGTGGTGGTGGATGCGCTACTCCCCGGAAAGGACAATAGCGCGTTCGTTCCCCACCGCATACACCTGCGGTCCGGAGTTTTGCAAATATCTCAGCATCACTGAAGTTAAATTTCTTTTGTTAAAAACGATAAAGTGGTCAGAAGAAAATATTCGATACTAATTTACTACCAACTGCTTGGAAGCAGATAGGACAGTGGTAGTAATGTCGCTCGTCACGGGCACGACACTGGTTTGACCCCGCACTGGGGTCACCAGGCCTCACATTCCTACGGAAAATTGGTACGAGACTGGTCTAGGAACAATTCACTTCCTACAATCAAAGTGGCAACGCTGTAGTTCGGCTATCCCAGGACGCCAGGAAAAATCGATTCAGCTAGCACTTTACAACATTCATAAAGACGACAAGCACTAAGCTACAGTTGAGCTTATTAGACTACTAAATATACAAAACCTCCTAACGGTTTACCTCTTCATCGTGGCTGGAAGGTGTTCCTGGGTGTCGACCTGCGATGTACATTAGGGAGAATCGTCCTCCCAGCAGAGTCTTCCAAGTTTAGAATGAGTCCGGTTTCCATCAGGACATCCAGCTAGGAGTGAACCAGCAATATCCATCCACCACCGTCTTGGCAACAAACTAGTCAAATGGTGGTAAGTCTTCCTCTGGTTAACAAAGGCTGCGACTGCCTGTGGTGGTCACGACCTGAAGCAGGCTTTGGCCAGGCTGCCCTCGGAACTCCAGGAACCACAATGGCTAATCCACCAAACCACCGGAGAATAGAAATTGTGTTTGGACAATCAGTGAGGACGAGCCATCCAAATATCCAACCAACCAATATACAAAAACAGAGCTTACATGTAGTATATATACTTACTTACTTGATACTTGAACGGCCCGTGATCACTAATTGTGCGGGCCCCAGCATAATCACCATTTTACGGAGATTTGCTAGTTAAGCCATTGTGGTTCCCCGGAATCCCGAGGACAGCCTGGCCAAAGTCTGCCCCAGGTTCACCACGACAGGCTGTCGCCTTTGTGGATCAGAGGGAGATTTACCATCATGCGACTTTGATACCAGCACGGTGGTGGATCCTGGTATTGGTTTACTCGTAGCTTTCTTGATCGAAACGCCGGACTCCTTCTCAGCTTGGGAGACCCTGCCACTGGATGAATCCTACGCTATACATCTCAGTCTGACACCAAAAAACACCTCCAAGCCACGATGAGGTGGTACACCGTTGGGAGGTTTTGTATATTTAGTAGTCCAATAGGTTCAACTGTAGGTTGAGGCTTGTCGTCTTTATGAATGTCGTAAAATGCTAGCTGAGTCGATTTTTGCAGGAGGTGAATTGTTCCTAGACCAGTCTCGTACCAATTTCCCGTAAGGATGAGAGCCATGGTGACCCCGGTGCGGGGTCAAACCAGTGTCGTGCCCGTGACGAGCGACATTACTACCACTGTACTGTACGTAGTATATATACAATGTATAAAAAATCTACCTCGTGCTGTAATCGGCGACGTGGTTGATGGGATACCGGCTAAATTGCGTAGTTTCGCGAGTTCTTGCACCAAACTACCTCGATTAGTAGTGTTACTTTCTGACTTAGTGTTCACTTTCCGTGCACTTGTACATGGCTTCGTTGGAGAAACTAGCGCTTTCTGACGAGGAACGGGCGATCCATCCGACCTAATAATGTGAACTTACCGGTGAAAGACAAACGTTCAATTTCGAAAACGCCGAAAAATATTAACTCACTCCGTTTCGCTATCGCTGTTGGTGTCTGTTGTAGCGTCAGAATCTTCAACGATTTTCGCTGGCATATGCTGTTGAGATCCAGCAGCGCTTCCAACACGAGAGCTCATATCTGAATATAAGTAGCGCCAATAATTCACTGTCTTTCTTGATGAACAAACATGAGATTCTTATTACAACATTTATTAATTCACAAAGCTGACGTTTCGACGGTTTCGCCTTCTTCAGAGCCTCGAAAGGTCAAACTGACATGCAATTTACTCAGGCAAACGCGTTCATAACCTCAACAGATAAAAACTAACACATAAATTTGCAGTCGCATAATAAGAAGCTCCTTTTAAACACCGTCTGATTTTTCCTCGTAAGTCTTCTAGCTATTTGGTGGAAAGCAGTCGTTTAGAGTATTAAATAAGCGAGTGCACTTTTACACAGAAACTTAATGGAGAAGATCCCGAACTAAAAGTTTCTCCCTCGCACAGTAATCTAATAAATCAGCGCGTAACACTTTTTAAGCGTCTTGAATAGATCCAAAAAAAATCAACTGCAAGAAGTGCATTGTTTTCAGCGTGACTCAGCGCCTTACCTTAGGCTGGTTCTTTGACCTGAGCCATGCACATTTCTCGCCCATGGAATAACACTATGCGGTTAGTCTCCAGCAAATAACTGGAAGATTTACAAAAAACAAAGAGATAGACGTTTAAAAAAATTGTTTACTATGCGAATGAAAATTTATACGTTAAGTTTTGTCTATTGAGGTTATGGAACTTTGCCTGCGTATACTGCTTGTCAATTTGACCTCTCCAGGTTTTGAAGAAGCCAAACCGCCGAAAGGTCAGCTAATGGGTGCTAATAAATGTTACAATATCAACCTCGTGTTTGCTTACTGAAGAAAAACAGTGAATTACCGATCAACGCCGAGGTCGACTGGAAGTCGGTCTTGGGATAAATAGAAACACTTATACTGTACTGATTAACTCGAACTGGCATTAGCAAATTCCATTCATGTCAGAGTTATACATATAATCTTTAGGAACTAGTCGTGCTCTCCAAAATTAGATGTTCATCTCACCCGCTTGAGGCCAGCCCCAAATTCCTCTGATGTACTTGCTTGTCAACTGTTTGACTGCAGATTTTCGTCCTACCTACACAGAAGAAAGCCACTTACGCTCAAGCACACCCACCCACGATTGGAATAGTATTTAGCTCCGCGTACGGAAACCAAGCAAAACAGGAATACCGCTTTATAAGAAAACTTGTGTCTCAAAGACAGTACATTGTTGTTTCACACGAGTCTCCTAGTATGTACAAGTTCCTTGGAAACGCGCGCGACAAGCAGCTTGTCGAAGACGAAGATATCACATATACCACATATGAGTGCTACGAGTGTAATAATCCGCTAACACAATATTTTGAGTTTTCCAAATGAAAACGCACCAACAACGTAGGTACCGGCCTCACTTGAAACGTCATTTTCCTTGCGTTCATCATGCTCTGGCCCGTGTATACACGTCTCGTCTACTTTATGACCTGTAGAGTGACCAATATCCTTATAAACCGTATTTCTAATCTGTGTGAAAATTAGAAAAAAATTCGAAATGGCGACCACTGCCACTACAAGGCAAATGGATTCACCTTCTCCTTCTAGTAACTTGTTTAGAAGGTAACGCTTATTAGATGAATGCGATTCTGGAAGCTCAGTAGAACGACTTTCACGATCTTTCTGGCTTGCTGAGGAAGAAACCGACCCTCCAGCAGAGCGACGACCCAAAATCCGACGAGCCTGTAATAATGGGTGCCAATAACCAGCAACGATTTCGAGTTACATTTACTTCCAACATATTTCGGTCTTTGAATTATTGTTAGTGACTTTTAGCAACTAATACGTCTACACTTTTTAGTGTCTTTCCACCACTTGTTATAGAGAACCTTCCTTGTGGAAAATATCTCTATCTATCTGTACGGTGATATATTTCGTGTTCATCGGATGGTTGAGCCACTATCACATGGCACAGAACGACCTTAATGATCTACCATGTGAACTACGTTTAGTGTTTCAGGGCGCACGGCAACGGTGGTTAATCCATGGGTGGAGGCGTAGCAATAGAACAGTTCCATTGTTACCTTGTGAAACGACACTAGCAACGTTTAACGCGTGAGCCATCTAGCCGCATATTCTATTGACTTGTAAAATAAACATCGAGGGTTAGCCACAGGTGCATACGCACGCGGATCGGCCCTCTCTGCCACATGCCATGGTATCAGAGAGGATTGTTTAGTCGCCCTGCTTGCCGTACGGTAACATTTGTTACCAGGCTCCAGACACTCGTAATATTGCTAACCCGATTGGATGAATGAGAATGTCTCTCTTGATACTTACTTGATACCTGAATGGCCCGTCCTCACTGGCTGTGTGGGTCCCAGTACAATCACCACTTTTCGGAGATTTGCTGGTTAAGCCATTGTGGTTCCCTGGAATCCCGAGCTCAGTCTGGCCAAAGCCTGCTCAGCTATCTCAGTCTATCTGTTTCTGGCCCAGGATATCTCTTAGGTCAACGGTTGCACCCATCGGTGGTAACTTCACGCTTAAGACATAGCGTCATCCAACATCAGCTATCTGACTATGTTCCCCAGATGACTCATCACCGGTCGTAGTCCGTCGCACCATCAGTGCTCATATAACTTATTATCCTCATCCATCATGCCAAAGTAAACCTCACCGCTGCATATATGACTCCTAGCTCAGTCGAGCATTCCGCTCATCTGCGTCTGTCTCTCTCTTTTTCTCGTAGCTCTCGGCATCTTTACCACCGTACGCGCCATTGTGGGCGCCGTCATCCGCGTCTCCCTACTCGTTATATTACCAGGTTGCTATTACTATTTTATTGAGGTTGCAATAGTATTCTAGTACTCTTATCTTTTTATTAGCCTCACCTCAGTAGTGGCTATGGCGTATCGTAACTTCAAACTACTTATGTGTGCAAAAGTTTAATTACCGAAGTTTTAGATTGGCAGATCGCAACGATCAGAAGCCCTGTGTGGCAAAGTCATTATTATATATATATGAATACACACACTGGTATTTTTGAAAATAAACAGTGATTTTTAAATAACTAGAGGACTTCGTCGGTTTTGAACATGAATGGATTGTTATACCTTTTTATTTTCTGCCTACTATAATTTCGCGGCAGGGTACTAAGCGAAATACAACCACAATGTTGCTGAGATATTTGCAAAACTCTGGACCGCAGGTGTTTATGGTGGGAAACGAACGCGCTATTGTCCTTTCCGGAGAGTAACGCGTTCACCACCACACCATGCGGGTCCTTCGTTTCGCCTGTCTCTCAGCTATTTCTATCGATCTTTGCCACAGCAATCACCCGTCAGCGGGATTGATCTGGGGCGCCCAAATCGGCATAGAACCCAGTTAAGCTATGGCTGTAGTTGAAACCGCAATGTTATATAGTAGGCAGAAAATAAAAAGGTATAACATCAATCCAGAATCCAACATCATCATCCCAGATAAATCCCGCTGACGGGTGATTGGTGTGGCAAAGATCGATAGAAATAGCTGAGAGACAGGCGAAACGGAGGACCCGCATGGTGTGGTGGTGAACGCGTCACTCCCCGGAAAGGACAATAGCGCGTTCGTTCCCCACCATAGACACCTGCGGTCCGGAGTTTTGCAAATATCTCAGCAACATTGTGGTCATGAATGGATTGTTCAAAAGATTTGCTCTATCATTCTATGCCTACAAATATTTATGGTGCCATTTACTATACGTTACTACAGGTCCATCGTACAAACACATTACTGTCAACACCTGGAAGTGTTCTGCAACTTATGGGAACCCGGAATTTTTTATACTCACACTACACGATAATCTACAAACTTTTTGTGTATTTCTTATTTCTAAGTACAGAAAAGAGCTTTTCATAAACAACACCCAACACAGCACGTGTTCTATAAGTATCTATTGGTAACAGGAAGTGTAGGAAAGCAATGCTATGTGTTAAAACAAACCACCAGAAAGAAAATGAGACCGATAGAAGTTATACCGGCCAATCCCGCAAAATCATTATGACACCTACAGGTGTCACTCGCCGCCAGAGTTTAACCTCTTCACGACCATGCGCATTGATTTGAATATATACGCTACAGCACGTTTCGGACTGTATAGCTTCATTTCAATGCGCATGTCAATTACGCTCCAACAACACCTGATCCGAATGGTCTGCCATGCGAAAATGGCCGCTATTCACCATGGTAGAACTGGTAGAACTTTTTGATTTGTAACAACTATTTTGTGCACTGCGTTGGTCCAAACATATCTGCAAACTTGGCCAAAAGCAATCAAATCACTTCATATTATACATATTAGTATTATGCAATGTACACCCAGAGGCCAACAGACGCAACACTGGTCGACTCCTTACCAGATGACCATCGTCATCACGTTCGCAGTCGTCCTTCGTTTTCCTCTTCTACGGGGAGAATGATGTTCTTCACTGTCCTCACCGTGTTCCGATAACAATAATAAAAAACGAAAAAATGTTCATTTGCGATAAAAATTGGTCCAAAACGGAATCTCGACTCTCGAACAATAGACTAAATTTTTAATTCTAAATACTCCTGTTGAGGAAACACGAGGTTTTAATATACTCTTTGTTCAGCTAAAGCTGATGTTTCAGCAGTACCGCTTTCTTTAAAGCCTGGAAGAGTATATCGGCAAGCAATTTATTATGCCGAACGCTTCGATCACACATGTGGAAACATCAAAATCTATATGGCAATCACATTATAAACAGCTTCCCGAAAAGCCCACAGGAGTCATATACTGCTGAAGAGTGCCTAACCCTACATCAAAGGACGATTCGAAGATATGGAGCTAGATCACGTGTGATCTCTGGACATTTCTCCTTGTTGATTATGTTAGGGTTCTTGGCATTTATCCAAAAAGCCTCAAAAAGTTTGCGCGTTGGTGTTTTAGTCTCCTGTGCGTCCCTAGTGAGGTACTTTGTCTTGTGTTTCGTTTGCCATATAGATTATCTTTTACTACCCGTTAAGCCAATACATTCATCTCCACAAGCACTACAAAAGATCAGGTATATCGTACCTGAGCAATATGCAGTCACCATCATTGCTATAACAGCAGATTAAACTGTTCTGTGTTCCACACAGACGGTCATATAGGTGGTCAAAAACTAACTGACGAAGCAGAGTATTCGGTTGTATTTCAATTATCGCTACCGATTTCTCATAACTTGCGCTTCTTAAGCAACGCTTTATAGCTACACTTAGTACACCGGTAATAAAGGACAAGACTAAAGGGAATTTGTTTCGGCCAAATTTTTCGCTTTGGGTTATGTAAGGTGGGGCGACTGCCTATGATATTGACGACCTGGACCATATGCTGGCCTCGGGACTCCAGGAAAACAATGACTAAACCAGCAAATCTCCGAAAAATGGAGATTATGCTAGAACGCACAACCAGTGAGGACGGGCCTTCCAAGTAAGTAAGTATGTGCGTAGCCTACACAATTTGAACACTTACTGCATAAATTAGTTTCAGTACATACATGTTCAAATATTGGAGTACCTTTTAGTTTGCAGTTAGTGTATTGAAATACAGGTTGTTTGGAACACAGAACTGCGCAATTTACCGTTATGGCAGAAACGATGATTTCTTGAGTTCAGGTACGACATGCCTGATTTCATGTAATACTTGCGCAGATGAATATTTTGGCGAAACAGGAAGATCCGCACAAAAAAATGTCTAGACGGCAAACTAAAAACAGGACAAATTACCCCACTGGGGATGCATAGGATACAAAAACATATCGGACACGATTTTAATATGAAAGTCACTATCCTCGTATAAGATTCCAACACACCAACGCACAAACTTCTTGAGGCGTCTTGTATAAATACCAAGAACCCTAGAATGAACGACAAGGAAAAATGTCCAAAGATCACACGTGATCTAGCCCCATATCTTCGAATAGACTTTTGGTGTGGGGTTGTGCAATCGTGAACCAAATGCGACTTTAATCAGCGGTTCATCCTTAGTGGAAGTCACGTAAAAAGCGGTGAGTTTTTCGAGAAGCTGTTGATCATATGATTACCATTCAAAATTTCATGTCACTGTTAGTGTTAATGAAGCGTTTGGCAGAATAAATTCGTATCAAAATACCATTCCAGGCTCTGACGAAGGCGATACTGCCGAAATGTCAGCTTTACTGGAATAAAGAATAAACTAACACCTCGTGCTTGGTCAACAAGAATATCGAGAATTATATAATCAATGCCGATATTAATAGAAGGTAGGTTGTAGGAATTGCTAAGCTTTTAACCAATAACTGATTCCTAGAGCAACTGGCTGTTTGATTATAATAACAGAATCGAAAGAAAGGATATGAGAAATGTACAAAAATTCCGAAAGTATTCAACTCATGCTGCAGAACCGAATGCCAAAAATAGTGAGCACCGTAGGTGGTTGGAGAAATAGTTTTTTTCCTTTCTCAGCACACAGAAATGTCTCAAAAACATGAAGAGAGAGACAAACATAAAGAGAACGTACGATGTAAAAAATAGAACACTGACAAGACAGAGAAAGACCGATCCATATAATGAAAAGTACAACAAAAATGGTGGACCCATTTTTTTCACGGAGCCTATTTAAGAAGTATAAATTAACTCCAATTTACGTACCCAGCGGGAAAACGTTGACAAAGGACGCTAACGCACAAGGTTAGAAGAATCGCTAACGCGCTAATGTAACAGTGGCTAGTGTCATCTTAGGCCTAGTGTCAATCCTAGGCAAGTGCTTACCTCCACATAGCCACTTTTTATTATTCCCCAACTTTATTGCTCCATTTATACGTCTCCTACCCAAAAACACTGCTTATAACTTGGGATGTTCGCTACCTCACAAGTATTTCCCTCCTTGAACGGCGCGAATCCTAGAAATTGTTCAATTCTAGTTCCGCCTTCGATTTGAAATGTCGAACAACACAGTGAGTCCCATGATGGGGAAAAAACACTCAACTGTGGACTCCATCACACAACTCAGTAACAATATCAAATAAGATAAAATAGTAAATTATTTCTAGATTTTTACTACTATACCCAAATGGAAACCTGTGCCGATTTTCTTGCCGCATCTTGTAACGAAACTCCTTCGGTTGTAGGATCGAAATTGACCGTAAAAGCTGTCGCAGAAGCACGCTGTGGACCTTAAAGAAAACTTACCTATGAATGCCATGATTGATAACAAAAATGGGTTTAGGTATAAACCAAATAAAATATACTAACTAATAAATTTCAAAAAATCATCGACGAGCCTTTGAGTAGGAAATTTGTTCAAGGAACATTGAAATAACTGGCGCCCAAGACGAGCGCTCTTCTACGACTTCACAAAATTCTCTACCACTCTACCATAAAGATTCCCATTAACAGCCGCAAGTGTTTCCCAATAATTGGAGTGTTCGAGAAATTGAAGACTTGAAGAACTTGTAAGAAATATGGCATTACCACTAAGTATATCTGGTTTTCATCTAACAGTGTAACTTCATGTCTAAGTAGAACTCTACACTGTGCAGATACCGAGCATTACCAACTAGTATCGCTATCAACAATACCTGCAATGAATACCCGTTACGCACAAACCTCTTTTCTCAGCCATTTTGTTATCGTCTGGGAGCTTGCTGAGATCTATATCCATTCGAATGGACCGCGACATATGTGCTGAACAAACAATATACTATACAAAGGTGAAAGTGAACATCAATTTACAACTTGCACACAAATGAAATAATTGTGCAAGCTGCTTACGACATAATATCAGGAATGATACTAAACAAGAATACTGGGCACAACAAATATTCAGAAGAGTAGAAGAATACTGATCATCAAACTTGGTTTAACAATAGGTACTAACCTCTCGGTCTCGGTGCTTCACTTTCGTCGATTTTGCTGAAGTCGATGTCCATCCTTACGGCTTTTGCAGGCGTCTGTCGACTTCGCGACGACTCCGGCTCGCAAACTGTAGTGTTTTGTGCAGAGGCAAGATGCTGAGGTCGAGGACTACGAATCGAGGAAAGTCAAAAACACGAACAAGTCAAATAACAATAAAAAGCAAAAAATTCAAGCCACTTTCAGAAATGTTGGAAATCCAATAAATTACGAATGGGTAAAGCCATACCTTCCCACTTCAGCCAGTGAGCCCGCATGATCATCGCGTTGACGACCCCACCACTGTGGTGGCCCTCCATAAAGAGGAGTTCGTTCGGCAATTCTAAATGAGTTATCTGGTTGAGAGCTTCGCCATTTCCTCTTCTAATTCAACCCTCTAACCTGAAGCCATCACCACCTCCGGTATGACTGAAGCTTTCAGTTGATCGACCAAATTCACTGCTTCCTTGCCTATGATGAAACTCATCAGGAATCCGCTGGAAGTCTGAATTTGGCCGAGTAATGTCTCGCCTGAAAATATGCTCTAAATTGGAAAACGTAGCTATGAATAGCCTAACGAACGAAACCTAAATCCATCTCGACCACTTTCAGGATCTTCGGGCTGACTGTTAGGACTGCAACGATGAGGATTTTGTGAGTGGCTGCAATTCCTAAAGATAGAGCAAAATATTACTCGAGAAAAAGAACCGCCGCTTAAAACCACAAGGATATTTTGAGAACCCAAATTGTGGAAATAGTACCGATGTTGCTGAGCAACTGAAAGCGTCGAAGTGCAACTACGCATGCCTCCAAAAAATGTGGACTGTGTCGCCATAGACACAGATGGTGATGACGGTGGAGGATCTTCTGAGAAAAAAAGGTAACGCAGTAATGCAACAGAAATCTGCAGTGAGTAGAAGATATTTAGAAAGAGCATTTTTATCAACTCCTCCCACGCCAATAGTTTACCACCCTTATCGTACCTGGCGGTTGCCCACAGACGTCAAACTGTGATGTAAATGGAGGGTCCAACCGCAAACATAGAACCAATATGAGGAGTTTGGCACTTACACACGAAATTCTGGCTAAGAGCTAACCAATATTAGCAGCATCCAACCCTCGAAGAAACCAAGTCACAAGTTGTCAAATACCCCACGATTCACAAAGTCAGAAAACAACTTATAGTAACTGTCAAGAAATTTCTTGGAACAGGGTACTCTTGTGTGAGGCAACCTCGCTAAATCGGCGATATATAAATTAAATGTAAAATGTAGAGGTCAAGTTATTTATTGTGAAGTTGAGCCACGGAAGTATTCCTGTAAGCAACCTCACCAAGTCTCCTATCATCGTCTCGCCTATCCTCCGGAGAGTTTGTTGATGGAGCGTAACCAGGACGAAAACCGTAAGGTAACTGCTGATAAGTAGCTATTGGAACAGAATACTGCGCCTGCGAGGTGTTCGACTGCATCACATAACCTAAATTACCCGATCTTGCCACGTCGACATCTTAAACGAACAAAGCTCTTTGACCAAATGATTTTTTAGATCACCTTGTGGTGGAACTTGACCATACGGATAATAAACGGCTGGTGGATGATGGAAGTACATCGTCTGCACTGTTGGAGGAAAAAACGGTGTCTGTGGAACGATATAGTGCTGTCCAGTCGCTGGATCAACAAGAACTTGTCCTTGTATAGGTATGCCTAACATTACTATGGTAATGTTATAATAATATAATAGCCTTTATTAACAACAGAAAGGCAACATTACTACCAAAATGACCAAAAAATGCTTACGCTAATTTTCATCAGAAAATATTAAGTAGAAACATGACACCTAAGTAAACCTCACTGATTTACAGAAGACCTTGATCCATTGCCCTGACTCAGTGAACAATTTAACACATAACACATAACGGGCGATGTTGGCTAACTGCCGAAAACATTTCGAGAATTAGAATAGCTGAAGAGCTGGGTATTTGATTTCTTACAGAAGACGTTTCCCCTATTCGCTTTAGGTACACAATTAAACCCTCATGTTCGTGAACGATTGGAAGTAGAACCTATATTTTTAACACTTCTAATCGGAGCAGAATTTGGCTACGCTGACCTAGGAACTCCAGCGAACCACAATGGCTAAACCAGCAAAACTTCCAGTGAGGACGGGCCATCGAAGTTTCCAAGTAAGTAAGTAATGCTTCTAATCCAAGCGCAGCAACTTCAATCATCAGAACACACTGAGAGACAGTCCTGCTCTCTTCTACGAAATCCCGCTTGTTTGGTGTTTGAAATACGAATCTTGATGGAGAAAAGCAGGAAAAAATACGTTCTTTGTTCTTCAAAAAGTTAGAATTTTGCCATTACAGAATTACAGAACTTGCATGATGTTGATAAGGAAATGTAAATTTTAACGGTTATTGTCTCGACACGACGGTCCGTCCTCACGAGTTGTGCGGACTCCAGTACATTTGCCATTCGTCTCTTTCCCTCGCAAAGCGGATCGTCCAAGTAAATAAGTACCTCGATTGAGGCATGTGTGATCAGATTTGAAGCTCGAAACATTTTTGGCCACATTTGCTTGTGTACAACGCCCACCGCCCCTGTTATGCGCCAGGAATATTCCACATAGTTCTCGATATTCTTGCTGAGCAAACACGAGGTCTTACTTTATTCTTTATTCCGTTAAAGCTGACGTTTCGGCGGATTTCGCCCTCTTCAGAGCCTGGAAGGGTATACTGACAGGCAATTTACTAAATCAAACGCTCCGATAACACATACAGAAAGATGAAAACCTAAATCGCAATCACACCATCAACAGCTTCTCGAAAAAAATCCACCGTTTATTACGCGCCTTCCACTGTGGAAGAACAGCTGAACAGAGTCGCATATGATCGATAAATGCATTGACGAAATGAGCAGACCTTTATGCATCCGCATAAAAGAGCACCTAGATGGCAAATGAAAAGAAAACAAGACACGTCACTAGGGACGCACAGGACACAAGAATGAAGCACAGTGGAGACGATTTTGACATAAATGTAACTATCCTCGCACGGGATCCTAAAACGCCAACGCACAAACTTCTAGAGGCTTTTTGGATAAATGCCAGGAACCCTAGAATGAACAGCAGGAAGGAATGCCCGTAGATACACGTGATCTGGCCCCATACTTTCGCAACGACTTTCTATGTGGGGTGGTGCATTTATCGACCATTGCGACTCTGTTCAGCCGTTCTTCCTCAGTGGAAGGCATGTAATAAATGATGGGTTTTTTCAAGAAGCTGTTGACGGTTTGATTGCGATTTAGATTTTCATCTTTCTGTATGTGTTATCGGAGCGTTTGACTTAGTAAATTGCCTATCAATATACCCTTCCAGGCTCTGAAGAAGGCGAAATCCGCCGAAACGTCAGCTTTAACGGAATAAAGAATAAAGTAAGACCTCGTGTTTGCTCAACAAGAATATCGAGAACTATTTGATCACTGCCGAGGTTAACAGAAAGTCGGTCGTGGGAATATTCCGCATTTTCAAACACATTTGGAAATAAAGTCCTCAGAGAACCGGAGACAATGAGGAAACTTTGAAAACTTAAGAAAATCCCGCTTGCTTAGCCACTTTTGCGTTTGGAAAGAAAAGGAACCACGATACAAAAGGCGGACAAAGCGTATCCTTAGGTTTGGAGAAAGAACAGGACTTGTACTGTCCTCAATGCACATCGTGAAATATATGTTGTACGCCTTACTCAAATTACTTGCCACGTACAGTCGAGAACTGAACAACTCACCTCCTTGCGGAATCACACGCGGTTGAGCATGATGACAACCAACGTCATCTCTTTTGGTGGTTGTAGCATTCGATGATGGATGCACGCTCTCCTGTATTTCAGATTCCTGAATTGAAACTCCTGATCCCTTTCAAATATTATTTTATTGCACTATTTTATTTCAACTTTTTTAGCATTACGCTAATATAAAGAACAAAGGATAAAGCTTCCGGCGTTGATCATTCCCTGAGCGACGCGCCACCAATACGACTTCATTAAGCATCGTCGGAGGTGATTAAATGCGTATCTAGCCTTTACAGTGACTCGTGGTGACCAACCGATGTATCGAGTCAGCATGGCTATCCTCCCAGACAAGTGTGGTAGCAATTTGCCGACCCCGGAGGAATGGAAGGGTTGATGGACCAGGAGCGCGGGAATCGATCCCACTTGTCTGTTGCACGGCGCTTCAGCTCATTGTGCTACACGTTCCCCTCACTTTTTGATGGTTCGGAAAATGTGGAAATCAATGTGAGACAGTCATATGACCAGAAGTATGTAATTAAACACCGGAAGAGGGAAAACATGCGCTTATATCATCGAAATACAAAACGACTTTCTTCGTGTATACTTACCGGGTAGGAAAAAAATGATCAGATACGCCTACCAAAACAGGAACTAAAATGTCTATGAAACGATCGCCGAGCAATTGGACAAGTGCTAAACTTGATGGGAACAAATTGGCCCGATGAAATGGAACATCGGATGCCTAAGCGACTAATAAAGCCCGTAAAGACCATCCTCCACGAAAACCGGACAGATTGGATTTCACTTTAGTTTCTAGAATAAACAGCGAAGGAAATCCTAACCCGCTGCATAACTTCGTCGCTATGCTCTCTTCGGCCACCAATCAGTGAATCGTTTGAGCTCATCATTTCAAGTTCTGGCAACACGGACACTGCAAGGCAAATTAATGAAAACATGGCAAGCCAACCAGAAGAAATAACTTGTCTAAAACTAGTAGAATACATAAAGGTAACAGAAGGTAACGGAAAACCAAAACATGAAAAGAATTTTCTACATTGACTTACATGCACAGTTGGCTGACCACCGTTTCCTACCACATTCCGTTGGCCGAACGGAAACTGGACGGAGTAGATCGGTCTGAAAGAAAGCGATCCGCCTATTTACCGGCATGAAAATGGGTCTTAAAGAAGAGAACGATGTGGCGGACCTAGAGAGCTACAATACAGAGTGCTGGTAAATGCATAAACGGTACGATATTTTATGATAAATAGGTGATAATGTTCTAAATTGGAGCTCGAGCTGGCTGGACTCACTAACCACTAATTCAAACTAGACCATACCAGTTGCATATAGCTTGAAAAAAAATCATGACAAGTCCAGATGATGGGCAGTACCCCTACCATAAGGTTTCTGTAATATTGGTGGAAGCGCGTGAAGCGCAATGGATGCAGGTGCCCTACCATCCAAGCGCATGTTAGGTCATTTCACCTGGAATAGACCGATCAAGCCTCCAATCTCTCCGGTGTCGGCAAATTGATGCCAGACTTCCATGGGAAAACTTGCTCCTAACAATAAAAGCCTAAGGCTGCCTATTCGAAAGACTTGAGAACGCCGCAATGAAGCTATCCGAGACTCCCGCGAAAATATACTCCACCAACATTCAAGGCCATTCACGAAGAAGATGAGGTCCTCAAGTACCATTCGAATCACATGCAAATCCGTACACTTCCACAGATGACGAGTTCGAGAAAAGGAATCCAAAAGCTGCTGGTATCAGTACTATACGTGAAGTCGTACCATATAAGTAAAGAAGAAACCGTGATAATCTGACACAACCTATTCGCTTTCGTGTGAAATGTCTGTCATTCCCGCCTCTTCAGAAGTGTGGTCCCTCATGCCGGGCCGGTCACTAGATTGTTCTCGAAACGTCACAGGATTTTCGAACAGTGTGTTGCCCGTCTTGATGACATGAGCATTACCTTCTTTAAAAAAAAGTAAGTAGATCGAAAGAAGTACTACCACACTTTTCACAATCTCTTAGAGTACCAGACAGCGAATTTACGTGCGCCCAATTCTACACTTATTATCTGCGCTTAAGAGCCCAGCTTCCAGTCCTAAACTCGAACAGTTCACTAAACTGTTATGATGCTGAGATATCTGCAAAACTCCGGACCACTGGTGTCTGCGGTGGGGACCGAACACGCTATTACCCTTTTCGGGGGCTAACGCGTACACCACCACCCATGCGAGTCCTTCGCTTCGCCTTTCTCTCAACCGTGTTATTGACCAAAAAGTTCAGTAAATCGCTGAAGGATACCTTTTTCAAAATGAACTTCACACATTCTTATTTTCGCTCACATAAATACGCAATGCAGTTCTCTACAAAAACGGGTGAAACAACCTTTGGATTCAAACGACAATTCATTGAATAGGAGCCAAAGAATAACCGGAAACGATGCTAAGAATGGAGAATAAGGCAAAGCAATTCTAGCAATGACCACAAAAAAATGGGAACTCGTCCCAGGCAATGAATTAACTGCCGTTGAAAGTGCCGTAAAGCGCATAGGTCAGTACACAGACATCCGGCCTTTTCTTTTGAACAAAAAAAGATCCTTGTGCTATCCCAAAGAGAATTCATTAAAAGCTTAATCCAAAACCAGACCTTAGAATAAATACATGAGGGCCAAATAGCTACGCCAATCCACTTGTGACATGTGATATCCTCAAAACCATGTGTAACAACAGATAACGTCACATTTTAAACCAACTTTAAGATAGTAACGGAGTCGCAGCATACTAAAACGAATCTTAATATTAACTTGAAAAACGATCCCACTTACCCCTAACACAGTGCTGAGCGAAAAATCCTTATTTGAACTTCATCTTCAAAGCAAAACTCTCAGTGTTGAATGACGGTTTTTAAAAACTATTGCTACAACATCCGCAAGGTCCCCAAGGTTCTCTGATCCACAAGGTATGCCTGTGGTGGTGACGGCCTGGATCAGACTTTGGCTACGCTAACCTCAGAACTCCAAAGAACCACAACGGTTAAACAAGCAAAACTCCGAAGCAATGGATTATGTTGAGACCCGCACAACCGGTGAGGGCGGGCCATCCAAGGATCCAAGGATGGTTGCAACATATTTCAGCAACGTCTAGCCCCTCAGTAACAGAAATTTCTTACGAGCAATAAGATTCAGCAAAAAAGAAAGAGACTTCCGTTATGTTTTTGTGAACTTCCAGAATATCCTAACCGCTAGTACCTATAACTTCAACAAGCTTGATTACTTTTTAAAACCGTCCATTGAAACAATCAGCAAACTGTGTTAAACTAGCTTGTCTGCGTTAACATTTGGTGGGCCTGAGTAGCGTGATTGAAAAGAAAGGATATCACAAAAAGAGCACAAACATGTCCGACTTACGAAAAAGGTAACGTGAAATTATGGAACTGAACGCTACTTAAGACTTCCATCACCCTTCTAAGTTCACAAAGAGTTTCAAAAGTAACGACTGAAGAGGTCGTGTTCGCATTAAACCTCTGAAAGTTAGAACTTACAGGTGAACAACTTGCTTGTTCACGCCGTATGAGTCCTCTTTCATATGGAGAGGAGTCGACCGTAAACGACCACAAAATAACACCCTAAAGCTAAACTGGCGAAATTTGCGAAACCAAAAGGTGATAGAATATTTATACTCGAAATGTAATGACAAAAAAATTTGTTTCTGCTTTTAAATACCATCAATAGCAAAATAAGCTTCAATTTGATAACGTCTGTGGCTTTTCGTAACTCTATGAACGTATTCCTCGAGATATTGAACGCATTGCAGGAAGAAGACCGACCCGATGGTCAGAGTTCTTCACGAAAAGCCTAGAAGAAAGATATGATGATCGAAGAGCCCCTAGGTACAAAAGGATACAGATACAAAGGGAAAGGGCACTCGACGATCAACGGGACGACAGGTGATACAGGTGATGAATCTATGAGTTTGATTCATTCGCCAATGGTATTGCAAAGAGAACCGATTTCGATCGAACCTTATAGAAGTAGTGTTCAAGCGGTTAGATTCCCGGAAATCTGAAGGCCACCTAGTGACATGGGTGACCTCATAGAGACATGGATCACGTTTATACAAATTCTGATGAGCTACTGGTTATCTTTAAATAAACAAACCACACATAAGTAAAGACGGCGCGCAGGTAAATTACACGGGAATGATGCCACCGTCTGCTGGGACCGACAAGTTTTTAGAAGTTCCCTCTCATAAATTATAACCCATCAAGAAAGATGACCTCTGGAACATCTACTAGACCTCAGTTCATGTGTGCTGGGTCAAGTACTCTACAGTGATAATCAATTGACTTAAGAGTTAACAAGTAAAGGCTGAAGATGAACAAATCCAGGTGATCAACTCTATCTAATAAGTACTGTATGTAACTTCTTATAAAGCCGTCCAAAAGTTTTAAACACAGAATCAAACGGATATATTTAGGATTAAAAACGTTAAGTGAGCACAGTTCCGTAAAGACTCCATCATGTCCTTCCTGACCATCTTCCACTCCAATGTTATTCCTTACTATATGCGTAGGCTTTCCCACTAGGAAGCCCAGCTAAGAGTAAACCAATATCAGGATCCAGCACTGTCCTGGTCTCCAACTAGTTCTGTGGTGGCAAATCCCCTCTGATCCATAAGGGCTGCAATTGACCGCGGTGGTGACCACCTGGGGCAGACCTTGAGTAGGCTGACGTCGGGACTCCAGGGAAACACAATGGCTAAATCAGGAAAACTCCGAAAAAAGAGAAATTATGCCTGCACAACTATTGAAGACAGACTATCCATGTAACCAACTTTGTACGTATAGCATTTAGCGATTTAAGTACGAAGACATTTAGTAACGACATCTAACTTGACGAAGGTAAAGCCGTTGATTTCCAATAAATGGGAAAACTTGGAAACGAAGCAGCCATGCCGCGACAGAAACTAGATGAACGGCGTGAATTGCAATCGCCGGTCGTGTTTGCGCACCGAGAATTGATCGCTTGGTGGACGAGGAGGCGACGGCTTTAGGAAGGCATTTAGGCAGAACTTAGTATGAGGACGTCCCTTTAAGTAACCGGAAAGTAGACTGACTAACAACAGAACACTTGCGAAAAAAAGCGGTTTTCTTTGCTATCGCTTCGAAAATCGATCCGCGACCGGGAAGAAGTGGTGGCCGATCGATACGGGAGCCGGCTAGCCGGTGACGAATGCTCTGTAATGGTCAGGCCCGGATGCGATCCTACCTGATTCAGAGACGGTGGCTGTTCCATGTTCATTCCAAGTGATGGAAAAAACATCAAGAACCAGTGCACAGGAACTTGAGAAGTGCAGGTGTCTAGTACCCCTTTCACTGACGTATTTTTCAGTACATGTAAAAGAGGTGAAAATATTAAAAGTGCTATCTTAAAGTCTGAGAACTATCTGCAATGGAAACAGTAAAAGTAAGGAAGACTCCTTTGTACTATGCATAGAAATGGGACAAGTATAACTTCCGGTTTCCAGTTGGAATCTGACGGGAATTTACAAGATGTTTTATTAATGGATATCGATCGGTTCTACGAAAGAGGGACTGCGTTAACTTGTTCAAGAATGTTTCCTCTAAATGGGTAGTTACATCGTAAACGAAGAGACAAAAGAAGGATGAATCGATATTTCCGAGGTTAGGGAAGAAAAAATCCGACACTAATCTTCGCCGGCTTATTTAAGAGATTCTTACAGATAACCCATTAGGTTGACTTGAGATTCTCTCAAGAACAGCTAGCATCCAAATGGCTACCAATAATTTGAGATCGATTCTTGTGTGAAGCACCTGGAAAGCGTTATGAAATGATAGGCGGGAAGAGTTACGCCTTTTTTAAAGCTCCTTGGTCTCGAACAAGCAGCCACCACACTGGGTTTCATGTTAAGATAATTCTATTAAAGGCCAACCTTCGCGGTAAAAAGGGTCTAATTTAAGCTAAACAGCTACATATCGAATTAAGATTACTACATGCTGAAAGAACTAGAGAGGCTAGTATACTGTCGAGTTTTCCAAACCCTGGAGGTTCTAGCAAAACCTTTGTAACTGTCAGCACTAAGTGCTCAGTCGAAATTTATGAAGAACCAGCCGAACAGTCGAAACATCGCTTCTC